TTTTAATTCATTTTGCAACAACTTCGAAATTCAGAATTTGGTCTGTAGGTATAGATGTTCCAAGATGTTTGAAACATCGTCTACTTTTTACACATTTCCATGTAGACAGTATAAAAGCTTATAAATTTTCGTTGAGAAGATGCGCTGTTGGACAATCCATAAATTTATATATATCGCTATTTGAACTGTAAAGCTAACTGTTTTTACAGATAGTATACTTAGATTTCATTGAGTGAGCCTACTCCTAACAGAGTCATTCTGAGTAAGTTATTTTTCTCAATGTAAATGAATAGAACATTTACTGCTACATAGCTTTTAAAAACCGTTGTTAATCCTGCATCTATACCAAGGTCTACGATCAAAACAAGTTTATTTATACAGTATTTCTAATCACAAGTTTTGTCTAATCGATTCCAGTTCAAACAAAATGTAAATACATATGAACTAGCCGTAATTAAAATCGAAATAATAGAAAACGCACGTCGGTTTTTACTGTTACAGCATGCGATAAAAATGAATTTTTTTCCAAATGTTTACATCATATTCTGACAGAATATTTGCGGATGTGGGTGTAATATGCATGTGAAACTTTTCTTTGCGAACTTTAACACTTCTTGTCATCTGTATCTCTTTTTTTTGTTTTCTTTTTTGAACCAAGACAACTAACAACAATGTGTGACGATGATGTAGCAGCACTTGTTATTGATAATGGTAGTGGAATGACTAAAGCTGGTTTTGCTGGTGATGATGCACCACGTGCAGTATTTCCATCGATTATTGGCCGACCACGTCATCAAGGTGTTATGGTTGGTATGGGACAAAAAGATTCATATGTTGGTGACGAAGCACAATCAAAACGTGGTATATTAACTTTAAGATATCCGGTTGAACGTGGCGTCATTACGAACTGGGATGATATGGAAAAACTATGGCATCATACTTTTTATAATGAACTTCGTGTTGCGCCTGAAGAACATCCTGTTTTTCTCACTGAACCACCATTGAATCCAAAAGCTAATCGTGAAAAAATGACACAAATTATGTTTGAAAAATTTAATACACCAGGAAAGAAGCACAATTGATTGATAAATGAAATAAATAATGTTTATTTTCTTTTTTCTTTTTCTATAGCAATGTATGTTGCTATTCAAGCTGTACTTTCACTATATGCAAGTGGTCGTATAACTGGTATCGTACTTGATTCAGGTGATGATATTTCACATACAGTACCAGTTTATGAAGGTTATGCATTACCACATGCTGTAATCCGTCTTGATTTAGCTGGAAGAGATTTAACAGATTATCTAATGAAAATTTTAACTGAACGTGGTTATTCATTTGTAACAACAGCTGACCGTGACATAGTACGTGATATAAAAGAAAAATTATGTTATGTTGCATTAGATTTTGAACAAGAAATGGCTACAGCTGCATCATCAGCATTATTAGAAAAGAGTTATGAATTACCTGATGGACAAATTATTACTATTGGTAATGAACGATTTCGTTGTCCTGAACCTTTATTTCAACCGAGTTTTCTTGGAATCCAAGCACCCGGTTAGTTTAAAATTTCTTTCATGGTCATTTTTGTCTTATCATTTTCTTATTAGAGATAGGCATCCATGAAACAATATATAATTCAATTATGAAATGCAATATTGATATTCGTAGAGATTTATATTCTAATATTATTCTTTCTGGAGGTAAGATTGATTTAAATTATCGATTTATTTTTGTTCTTTTATTATTGATATTTTATATAGGCAGCACAATGTATCCAGGTATAGCTGATCGTATACAAAAAGAAATAACATCATGGGCACCATCAACAATAAAAATCAAAATAATAGCACCACCTGAAAGAAAATATTCTGTATGGATTGGTGGTTCTATATTAGCATCATTATCAACATTTCAACAGATGTGGATTTCAAAACAGGAATATGATGAATCAGGTCCATCAATAGTTCATCGAAAATGTTTCTA